AGCCCAGCAGGTCGAGGCTGCAGTGGCCGAGAGCAGCCACTGCACTCCAGTCTGGGAGACAGTGAGACTCCAACTCAAAAAAAAAACAAAACCCGAAAAAAAAAGAGTATAAAGAAACAGAAGAAGCCAGTCACAAAAGACAACATAGTCTGCGGTTCTGTTTATGTGAGCGGTACAGGTCAGGCTGAGAGTTGGTAGGCTCGTGGGAGTGTCTGCTGAGGGTCACTGGGTTTCTTTCAAGGGTGATGAAAATGTTCTAAGTGATGGTGATTGTTGGACAAACCTGTGAACATACTTAAACCTTTGAATTGTAGGCTTTATATGGGTAAGTTGTTTAGAATGTGAGTTAAAGCTCTGTAAAGCTGTCTTTTAAAAATCCAAGACTAAGCCGGGCTCGGTGGCTCAGCCTGTAATCCCGCGCCTTTGGGAGGCTGAGGTGAGAGGATTGCCCGAGCCCGCGGGTTCGAGACCCGCCTGGGCAGCGAGACCTCATCTCTACAATAAATCAAAAAATCAGTCGGGCATGGTAGCGCATGCCTGTAATTCCAGCTACTTGGAAGGCTGAGGCGGAAGGATCGCCAGAGCCCAGCAGGTCGAGGCTGCAGTGGCTGGGAGCGGCCATTGCACTCCAGTCTGGGTGACAGAGTGAGACTCCAACTCAAAAAAAAAAAACAAAATCCAGGTCTACTTTTTAAACATTGTATACCATGACCAAGGAGGAATTTTTTTAAGACTGCAAGGCTGATTCATGGCTTGAAAATCAACCTATGTAATCCACCATACTAACAAACTAAAGAAGAAAAATCACGTGATTCGATAAAGCTGAGAAAGTCCTCTGTTTCTTTTGTTTTTATGATGAATGGGTGTTGCATTGCTTTTTCTGCATCAGTTGACGTGTGACATGGATATTACTCAGCAACAACTTGGAGGGATCCGAAGGGAATTATACCTTGTGAAAACAGCCAGTTCCAAAAGAGGACGTGCTGTGTGATTCCGTTTGCGTAACATTCTTAAAATGATGACATTGTGGAGATGGAGGTCAGGTGGTGGGTGTCAGGAGTTGAGGAGTGCGTGACTGTGGGAGGACCGCGTGGGGATGGGGGTGGGCAGGAGCCCTTCCATGTCTCGCTGGTCCCCGTGCCAGCAGCTTGGCCGAGACATGGCACTGTAGTTTTGAAAGGTGTTGGGGAAGCCAGGTGGAGGGCGCGAGGGGTCTCTGGTTTTGTTCTAGTGCATGTAAATCTACAGTTGAAAAGACACTGTTTTCGTACTAATCCAGCATAGTGTATGAAGAACAGGTTATAAAATACACACATTTTACGTCCATTAAAAAAAAAACCCTGTGTATATTGTAAATCCAAAAGGAATGGCGAAGAGAACTTTTATCCACCTCATCCATTTCAAGTTGCTGTGTCCACTTTGAAGGGCAGCTTGGCACTTCCAGCAGTGGAGGGCCATGTACTCGCTCAGTGGCCATTTCACGCTTTACTTCCATGTCCACAGTGTGGCTATGTCACTTCCACTGCAGAGTCTTGTCTTACTCAAGTGTCTCTTTCTTTCCTCAGTTTGTCAGAAGACATCAGAAAACAAAAAGAACCAAACATTGTTGGTTGATCCAGAAGGCAATTACGGCTCGTTAACCATGTTTCCTAGATGTGGTTTTAACCTGATATTAGCGAAAGAACATGACATGGATTTAATATACCCAATGAGCAGCCATTTTAACATTGCCTAAATCTCATGTCTTCCTAGCAGTTCACTTAACTTACCCTCTAATCACTAGCCAAGGATAGAACCAGTGTCTTTGATAGTTGTTTTAACAACCCCCATTCCCAACTTGTTTTGTACGAATTAGCTTTTCTATTTCAAGTATTTGCTTCCACCCATAAGGCCCAAGTTAACCCAATCAGCCCTTGGCGACCTTCCTGACACAGACCCTATCACCATGGCAACAGTCTTGTGACTAACCCACCCATCTGCCTGCTGTCCATCACCTGACATCAGTACCTATGTGTACCTGCCCTCTGTGATGATGTGGAGCAGACCACCACCCAACCATCTTAACGACCCACCCCCATCAAGGAGACTGTTTAAAAGCATTCAACCATGAGCAGCCAGCTGCCTTTACCTTACTAGACTGATATGGCCATCGCTGTGTTTCCTGGCTTTGGCCCCCTTTCCTACCTTGAGAAGTCGAATCTCCTCTCCTCCTCCCCTGCCTCATTTACTTTCTAAATAAACTATATTTTCTAATCTAACTTCTGTGCAATTCCTTGCATCTTTGTCGCGAAACCAGATCACACATCAGACACCCACACCCCTGGCAGGTCTGACCTAATGTTCCAGAGGCCTTGTGGGGAGTGTGACCTAACATGTAGTTTTCCAGTGTAGCTGTTCACTGTTTAGTAGGCTTCTGTGCTATGTTAGCTTTGACGATGTTTGCATTTAAATTCTAAGAAATAAATCCCAACTCTTTTTATGCTATGTCTCTAAATAGAACTTTCTGTCTGTTTGGTATAGGAAAGCCATGGCAGAAAAATACATCAAGGCGGCTGCAAAGCTCATTGCTCCTGTAATCGACACATCTTTTGCTCTGGGTTATGACTGGTGAGAGAGAAATTCAGTAGAAGTGCATGGAAATGGTGCTTTCATAATTTATACCTTTAAAACTTTAAGTTCATACTATAAGTGAGTAATCATGAATGTTGATTTGATTTTTTTCAAGCAGATAATATGTATGTTAGGATTAATATAGGCTATTGTAAAAGTTCTAATAAGATACTTTATTGTGGTCAGGTGCAGTGGCTCACGCCTATCATCCCAGCACTTTGGGATGCCAGGGCGAGAGGATTGCCTGAGCTCAGGGATTAAAGACTAGCCTGGGCAACTTTGTGAAACCTTGCCTCTACAAGAAATCAAAAAATCAGCCGGGCATGCTAGTATGTACCTGTAGTTCCAGCTACTTGGAAGACTGAGGTGGAAGGAGCACCTGAGCCCAACAGGTCAAGGCTGCAATGACTGTGCATGTACCACTGCACTCCAGCCTAGGCAACAGAGTGAGACTCCAACTGAAAAAAAAAACAACCAAACTTTATTGTTCATGTCATATTGTGAATTAATCAGTTATGTGCCGCGTAATGATGTCTCTGTCAATGATGGATTGCATATATGACAGTGGTCCCCTAAGATCATGAAGGTGAAAAATTCCTGTCACCTAGTGACATTTTAACTGGTGACATTGTAGCACCACGCATTACTCGCTTGTTTGAGGTGATGCTGGTGTAAACATGCCTATGCTGCCAGTCATGTAAACGTGCCCAGTGATGGCCAGAGCTTCCACACTCGCTCACCACTCACCAGTGCACCCAGAACCATTTCCAGTCCTGCAGGTACGAACCCTGGATAGGTGGAGCATTTAAACATCTTTTATGTCAAGGGTTATTGAACCTTTTCGGTGTTTAGATAGATTTAGAAATACAAATACTTAGTGTGTGTTACAGTTGCCTACAGTATTCCTTTATAGGCACATGCTGTGCAGGTGTGTAGCCTAGGAATAATAGGCTAGATCACGTAGCCTGGGTGTGCAGGAGGCTACAGCAGCCAGCAATGTGGCAGTGTACATTCTGTGATGTCCCCACAGTGACATCCTTGCCTAAGGAAGATGTCCTCAGAACAACTCTCCATTGTCAGGTGATGTGTGGCTGTGTGGCAAATGCATAAACCTGTGATGCAGTCACATCTTATCATTATCTGGTGTTGTATGCTCTACACAGTGTGCCCATTGGCACAGGAGGTTTACTTACACCAGCATCACCACAGGCACATGAACTATGTAAACATTACGGTGACCATAGTGTCACTGGCAGTAGGAAACCCTCAGCTCCGTTATCATCTAATGGGATCACCACTGTCTACATGGGTGGCCATGGACTGAAATGTCCTTATGCAGTGTATGATTGCTTTTGTTGAAATGGGCCTGTCACTTGTTGAAAGACAGCTAATCCAGCTCCCATAACTTCCCCGTAGTCTGCATCAGGGTTCTGAAGTGGGCAGTGAGTATTTACATTTTTATTAAGCCTCTCAAGTGATTCTGGGACATCCATGCTGACTGCATATTAAAATCAGGGCATTTTAAATTATCCTAATGTCCAGGCTGCACTCCAGACTAGTTAAATTAGAATTCCTAGGTGTTGAACTCAAAAGTCAGTATATATAAAGCCTTCTAGGTGGTTCTGTGATATACGAGGGGGAACCCCCCCAAAACCAGAATTTTTAAATAGACAATTGTGTATTTATTCTTAAGTGTTTAAACTTCAGGACCCTTCAAAGTACTCTCTGTTGGATGCAATACACCTATCGAGATACTTTTTCCACTGCTCAAAAAAACAGTTTTTGAACCCGTCGATTTTGATGCCTTTTAGAGTTTCTGCCATTTTTTATTTCACCTCTGCCACATCAGCAAAACGTTTCCTTTTGAGGACGTTTTTCATTCGGAGGAACAAACAAAAAAAATGTCTCTCTGGGTGAGATCAGGTGAATAGGGAGGGTGGGGCACAGGAGTCATGTTGTTTTAGATCCAAAACTGCTGAACACTCAGCATGGTGTGGGCAGGTTTGTTGTCATGGTAGAAAAAACAGTCATCTGTTTGCCACAACTTGGGATGTTTCTTCCGTAAATCATCTCTCACAACAATACGAGCTGGTATACTAATGCCGATGAATTCCTTGAACACCTACCTAGTAGGAGAAGCCTATACCACGAGGGGCCTGCCCTGCAAAAAATAATTCTGGGGTTTTTTTGGTCCTCCCTTGTATATCCAACATACAGAACTACGGACGGCTCTGTGCTATGTGAATAATTATTGGATGCCACTGACCGAGCGGCATCCTAAAAGTAAAGGTTCAGTTGGTCTTAAGTGGAACAGAAAAATCTCTATTTTTTTCAGTGTCTTCCAGGTGACTCTGGTGTGCAGCCAGGTTTGGAAACTCATTTCATACTTGCCTTCAAATGAAGCTCAGGTGTTTCTGGAATATCATTCCCCAGTACCCTGTGTCTTTGGGCTCCTTATAACATTTCTGGCACAGAACTTGGTTTACTGGTCTCCTCTCCCATACGGTCCCAAGCCATGCCCTACTTACTCATCCTTGCAGTCCCTGTACCAAAACATACCCTCTGACTGCAACAGTACTTAGTGAACATCTGCCAAGCACATCAGTGAGTTGGTGGTCTCCAGGTTTTGCTTGAAATCCTGTTAGTGTCAGCAGCTGTATCTCCAGGTTACTCTGCTGGGTGGGACTGAGGACAGAAGGTCATTCAGAGGGGTACCAAGCAGATGGGAGTTCAAGTTCTGCCTCCCCACTTCAAGCAGTGGGCCTCTTTAATATAGCAGGTCTTCAAAAAAAAGATTCTGATTGAAGAAAGGAATCTTCTGCCTTGAATGTTTCTAATCAGTATTGTTTTAGACTAGTAAACCCTCAGTAAAAATGTGTTTTACGTTGTTTACTGAAGCAAGTTTCGTGAAGTAATTTTTGCTCTGATAATGTATAATGCCTTCTGATACTTTTTCTATTCTTTTTAAATGATAAGTAGAAATTGTATGTATTTATGGTATACAGCATGTTTTCATGTATATGTACAACTGTGGAATGGCTAAATCAAGCTATTTAACATATATGTTGCTGGGCATGCATGTAATCCCAGCACACTTGGAGGCCGAGACGAGAGGATTGCCTGAGTCCAGGGGTTCAAGACCAGCCTGGGCAACATGGCAAGTCCTCTTCTCCATAATAAAACAAAATTTTAGCCGGGTGTGGGGGTGTGCACCTGTAGTTCCAGCTACTCAGCAGGCTGAGGCAAAAGGATCATCTGAGTTCAGCTGGTTGAGGCTGTGGTAGCTGTGAGCATGCCCCTTTACTTCAGCCTGGGTGACAGAGTGAGACTCTGACTCAAAATTTAAAAAATATGTGTGTGTGTCTGTGTGTGTTACCTCACATACTCATCGCTTTTTTTGTGATCAGAACACTTAAAATCTACTCTTGTTGTTTTCCAGTATATTATTATCAATGATGGTTGCCATGAGGGACAGTAGCTATCCTTCACATACTCCTCCTCCTCCTAACTGAAATTGTGTGTCCTTTAGCCACACCTTCCCAACCCCCTCACCCCATTTTTCTGCTTTTAATAAGGTCATGCATGACCCACTACATTCACTTCAAGACCTCAGTTTGAGGTTGGGCTCAGTGGCTCAGGCTGTAATCCCAGCACTTTGGGAGGCCAAGGTGAGTGGGTTGCCTGAGCCTGCTAGTTTGTGACCAGCCTGGGCAACTTGGCACGACCTCATCTCTACAATAAAATGAAATAAAAAATTACCTGGCATGGTAGCACATACCTCTAGTTCTGGCTACTTGGAAGGCTGAGGCAGAAGGATCGCCAGAGCCCAGCAGGTCAACACTGGGGTGACCGTGAGTGTGCCACTGCACTCCAGCCTGGGGGACAGAGTGAAACTTCAACTCAAAAAAAAAAAAGACCTCAATTTGAAAAACACTGGTCTTGGTGTAATGGGTTTTGGTATAAACAAGAATCGGGTTCAAATTCTTGACATTTTCTATCTGTATGTTCTCAGATCTTCCATTTTCCCATCTGTAAAATAAAGATAATGCTGTCTTTTAGTGATATGAGGAGAAATGTGATCATGCTTATAAACTATCGCAGTGCCTGATATATAGTAAACAGTCTATGTTCTGTGCTTTCATAAACAGATCTGTGATAGTCTGTTCAAACTGGGCCACAAAAAATTTAATTATTCTAAAAATTCTGTAGAATTTTTCTCACCATGAGAGCATTTAAGAGATTGAAAAATATAAAAATAATGTCATCTGTTACAAATTGAAGTTGTTTTAAAAAATGAGAATATAGGTTAGGCATTGTGGCACATGCCTGTAATCCCAACACTTTGGGAGGCTGAGGTGGCAGAATTGCTTGAGCCCAGGAGTTCAAGACCAATCTGGACAACATAGTGAGATCTCATCTCTATAAAAAAAAAATCAAAAAAATTCATTGGTCATGGTGGTACACTCCTGTAGACCCAGCTACTCGGGAGGCTGAGACAGGAGGATCACTTGATTCTAGGAGGTCAAGACTGCAGTGAAATGAGATGGTACCACTTTACTCCAGCCTGGGTGACAGAGTAAGACCCTGTTTTAAAAAAAAAAAATTCAGTAACGTAACCCTTTGCACTCGATGTCCCCTCTGAGGGGACGGTGTAAATCTAGCAAATCTCTCAGATGTTCCCTTTCAGGGGACATAGATTACTGGTGATTATACAGGACAAATTTATGCCAGCACAAACTTCAAAAATATATATTTCCTTGAAGTTTTCCATTGAAATTGCTGGAAAAAGCAAATAAAGAGATGGAATGTATACTGAGGTATGTGTTAAAAAAAATCAGCTGGCATCACGTAGAAAGAGAATGTGTTAAGTGCTTTCACAGTGGTGCACAGACTAGACAGTAAATTACATATTAATGTGGGAGAAGAAGATGAGACCGCATTGTCTGCTCTGACAGAAAAACACCAAGTGGAAGACATTAAACAAATTACTACTGCACATGTATCAGTGAACCTGCAGTGCACTCTGGTGACTGTTTCACATGGTACCACATTAGAAAAATATAAAATATAACATTTTGATTTTTTTGTCATAAATTTCTCAATGTCTAAAATTCCATTATAAGCCAAATATCATTACAATAAAATAATTGGTGCCAGTGCTATACTATATAATATGAAGAGATTCATTTTTCATCATTTCATTTAAAAAGCGCGATCGAGTTGCTGGTAGGTGACCTGTGAGAGGTTTCCAAGTGCAGAGGGCTAAAGCTTGTGTTGGACGAAACCCTGTTTTTAAAGGGTCCCTTGTGCTTAACCTTACAGAGCACTGGGCAGCCTTCTAAAATCCTTCAAAAGTCACATTTAAGAAAACTCACAGCATAAATACACTAAAATGAAATCAAGTCGCTTTTTTGATACCTTCCCTTACAGGTGCGTGGAGGTGGTGAAAGCATCTCAGTATGTAGAGCTCGCCGATGACCTGGAAATAAACAAAGCAATGACGTACTTGAGACAGAGGGACTTTAACCAAGTAAGTTTGGAAAGGTATTGTACACAGACTTTCAGATCTTAATTCTGAAATGGGATAATATTTTTTATTTCTATTTTAACATAATTTCCATTGATTTAGTTTTAAACTTTCATTAACTTTTACCTATTTGTCCTATTTCCTTTTTATTATTTTTATTTTTAGTTGGAGTCTCACTCTTTTGCCCAGGCTGGAGTGCAGTGGTGTGATCATGGCTCACTGTAGCCTCCAACTCCTGGGCTCAAACAATCCTCCTGCCTCGGTCTCCCAAGTAGCTGGGACTACAGGTGCATGCCACCATATGCAGCTACTTTTAAAATTTTTTTGTAGAGACAGGGTCTTTCTATGTTGCCTGGGCTGGTCTCAAACTCCTGGACTCAAGCTATTCTCCTGCTTAGGTCTACCAGAGTGCTGGAATTACAAGATTGAGCTACTGCACCTGACCTCTTCATCTTATTTTTTTCAAATGTGAATACCTTCCTTGTATAGCATGGTTGCTAAATTACCAAGCCGTTTTCTAGTTTAGAGATTAACTCTCCCCTAGAGGATTTCAAATGGTTCCAAAGCACTAAGGTTTTCAGGTCAGCGACAGTGCGTGTGGAACCAGGAGGCCGGGGGCCCAGACAGCAGCTTACTGTGCTTCCATCCTGCTGTCCTCCTCAGAGTGGCTTCCCTGAGTCTGTTACTGTGTCTGGTTTCCTCACTGACACTGCATTGGGAGTGACAGCTCCCAGGTCTGGGCTCAGCGTCAGAACCCTCCAGAGCTCCCACAGCTGTGGCCACCTTGCTTGTTTCGATGGGGTGGGGTAGGGTAGGTACACCTTGCCAGGTCGTCTCTCGCGTGGGATTGTGCCGATGTGAGACCAGGCTCCGACAACTGCGAGAGAAAGCGGATCCAGAGAGCAGAAGGAAGCCTGGTGTCCTGTCAGCACCCACGTCTGGGGTCATGGGGCCACGCTAGGTTAGAGCAGAGAACAGGGCCAGAGGAAGCTTTCCCTGTCCTGTGCTTCCAGCTTCTCTCTCCTCTGGAAGAGATAGGACCACCCGGAGGTCCTCACAGAGCATGAAAGCAGAAAGACACAGGCCCAGCGCCTGTGAGTCACTGTGTGGCTGCTCCCACGCAGGGCCTTGGGGTGGTCCCTTTGCCTGTGTCAGCTTCCTGTGCTTAATATTTTAGCATTTACAAAGCATTTGAAAAAGACTTTTTAGATTGTCTTTCTGTGTGTTCTGTCACTTGATCCTCACACCCCTGGTCATTAAAATGCGACTGAGGACTCACTAGCGTTGTCATAATGCTTTCTCAGTGGAAGTGAAGCAATCTAAGTGGTCTTTGTCATCTCTCTGAAGGGATGCGTGGACCCAAAACAGAGTGCTGTGTGTGTGAGAAGGTCTGGCAAAGGTGGCAGCATAGGGAGAGCCGTACTTACCAGTTTTCTCCTGACACTGAATTCTGAGTGACCTTTTTAGAAAGGATTAACAAGGCATTGCCATGGTTTGTGTTCTAAAGCTATGTCGTTAAGAAATAAACTCTCTCTCTATACTTACCTGGCAGGGGAGATACCATGATCACGAAGGTGGTTTTCCCACGGTGAGGCTTATCCGTTACACTCTGGATGTGCTGACCCTTGTGATTTCCCCAAATGTGGGAAGTTCAACTGCATTGGGGGGCTGCATTTGTACTCTCCCCTATAAAGAAAAAAAAGAAATAAACACTCTAATTTTTTATGTTAAAACTCATTTAACTTAGAGTTACTGGCTGTTGCTTTCCTAGCTATTCTTGTTCAAAATATCTTTTTTCCATTTGTATTTTCTAGTTTTTAATATCAATTAGTTTACAGACATTTTTAAATTGACATTTCTGCTTTCTCTCCAACACTGCTGCTTTCACTTTGTGTTTCTTTTGTTTGTGTATTGTAAGTATGAGGAGGTGGGTATACTACAATCTTAGTTTGAAAGGAACGCTGTTAGGTGAAAACAGTTGGGTTGACATAGCTCATAATGATTCTTTAATGAAGACTGCTTTCTTTGCAATTAAAAGTGAAAGAGAACAATTTATGCCTTCTTCGATAAGGATGTAATTCTAGAGTTAGCTCCAAATACTTTTTTTAAAAGAGAAGCTGATGAAATCATGGAATATAGCCGGGCTCGGTGGCTCAGCCTGTAATCCCGTGCCTTTGGGAGGCTGAGGTGAGTGGATTGCCTGAGCCCACGGGTTCGAGACCCGCCTGGGCAGCGAGACCTCATCTCTACAATAAATCAAAAAATCAGCCGGGCATGGTAGCGCATGCCTGTAATTCCGGCTACTTGGAAGGCTGAGGCGGAAGGATCGCTGGAGCCCAGCAGGTTGAGGCTGCGGTGGCCGGAAGCGGCCACTGCACTCCAGTCTGGGCGACAGAGTGAGACTCCAACACAAAAATTAAATAAATAAATAAATCATGGAATATGTGTCTTTGTGACAATGATGGTGTTTGTAACCACTTTTGTAATAGAAAAAAATACTCTGCCAAAAAACCAGAGGTGGATGAAGTGAGTAGTTGTCTGGTGCCAGTGATAGTATAAGGGACAGACCTGGGGGACAGCCAAAAGCGAGAGCTGGCAGTATCAGCCATGAAGGACACTGGGTGGCACAGAAAGCTCCTTCCCATCAGCTGTTGAACAAGCCCTCCAGCCAATGGTGTTTATGTTCATGATCTGTTTTGTCATTTGCAAATAAATTTAGACCACTTTTATCAGTTTCATTTATAAATAAGTTAATTTACAATATTTTACTTTTTTTTGTTGGTTTTTTGGGTTTTTTTGAGTTGGAGTCTCACTCTGTCGCCCAGACTGGAGTGCAGTGGCCACTCCCGGACACCACAGCCTCGACCTGCTGGGCTCTGGCGATCCTTCTGCCTCAGCCTTCCAAGTAGCTGAACTACAGGCGTGCGCTACCACACCTGGCTGATTTTTTGATTTATTATAAAGATGAGGTCTCGCTGCCCAGGCGGGTCTCGAACCCGCAGGCTCAGGCAATCCACTCACCTCAGCCTCCCAAAGACGCGGGATTACAGGCTGAGCCACTGAGCCCAGCAATATTTTACTTTTAAAAACAAGTATTGGGTATGCATTCATGGACATGAAAAGAACAGTTATGAAAGCAGCCCATTTCAAAACAAAAATCTGAGCCAAAAAATACCTGAGAGTGTTCCTTTTACTTGAATAATTATATAGCCTTTTTAAAGTAGTTCATAGTTTAGAAACGTATAATATGAAATGTGTTTACTCTGTCAAATGACATAAATTCCAAGTACTTTTGCTAATTCTTTTAAGTAATAGCTTTGGTATGCATTGCTTGTTATATATTATTTGGATTCATAGTCACGATTTTGGGAGAAAATAGATTTCATGTTAAAGGTAGCCTTAGTGTATTATTAATGAGCTCCAAAGTAGTAAATATTGGAATTTAAAAATTAGACACATTTCCTTGTTTATTATATTTTATATCATAATATGAATGGCTCTTCCCAAAGGAATGATATAAACTATTATAACATTCCCTTTAAAAACATACTGTTGCTCAGTAGCTTGCTTTCTGTATTCTGTTTTATGGACGTTGTAAATGTTAGAGAACAGCTCTCTTCCCTGTGCACTTGACTTCATTGAATTGAATGGGTAAATGAGTAGTACCTAGCCAAGTGCCTTATACTTTGAAATAACACACATTTATTGTTACACACCCTAAGGGTGAGGGTTAAAGCATCTCAGCAATTCTCCCAAGTGAAATGCAGCTGTGACCCCTGGCAATTCACAGCAGCAGCGGCTTTTACGCTGAGCACTATGGAGGCTGTGCAAATCTCCAGAAGGTAGTTTCTACAGGACGAGCAGTTTCAGCAGAAGTGCCTTTGGCGGTAAGCGGCAGGAGCGTCTTGGCAGCGTTGCACATTCTTTCCTAAGAGAGGTGGAGCCTCAAAAGTGAGGACATGGTACTTGGGTCTTTCTTTTCTGGGGTTGACTTTGTAGAAGTAAAAATTACTAGCCTGTAATTCCGGCTACTTGGAAGGCTGAGGCGGAAGGATCACCAGAGCCCAGCAGGTCAGAAGCGGCCACTGCACTCCAGTCTGGGCGACAGAGTGAGGCTCCAACTTAAAAAAAAAAAAAAATTACTAGGCTGAAACCTTCCAGTGGTTTTCTTTAAAGTTTTCAGAAATCCTGTAAAAGAATAACTTGCTTGATACTTTGTGTTAAATTAATCAGTAAATCACTAAGAATAACAATCTACTTCTAACTGTGCTATATGGAATCTAGCGTTTCAGAATTTTCTGCCCCTCAAGACACTTGAGTCAGCATGCTTGCTGGTGCTTCACTGAGGTGCCGCACTCTCGAAGTCAAACTCCACTGAGGACACGTCTCTGATGTGTAGCTGGCCACCACTGTCTAAGCTGGAGCAGGATTTATGCTTGGACACCAGGAGGCAGAGCGTCTTCTGTTCAGGAAATGTGTTTTAAAATTCATACCTTGGCTTTTCTTTCTGGCATTCCACAGTGACTTGTAGGTTGAGTGCTTGTTCACCCTCACGCAAGGTGTCTGACCATTCTTTTGTCTTTTTTTGGTTAGGATTATCTCAGCCCTGCCAGGTAGTTTAAAATGTGCTTTCATTTCTTATGACTTGAAAATGTAATTCTGTTTGAATCTACTTCAGATCATTTTTATAATATTCCCAGGATTATTTTCTGTTATTTGTTTGGAATAGTCTCATCCATTTGTTTTTCTTTCCCTCAGGAACCCCAGTTACATCTATATTAGATCTTGTTGTGGTGCCCCAGGCTCCTGTCTTCTTTTCTAGGAACTCTTTCCAGCCTTTTCTTTTGTGATGCTTTATTTAGCCTGAACATTTCCTGGCATCTTGGCCTTCTCCAGTGCCTTTAAGATATATTTTTAGTATTTTACATAACTTTTCTAGTGTTTCTGCTAGAGGTTGGTCTTCTGTAGACTAATCTGTCATAGCCAGAAGCAAAAATCCCAGAATCACTTTGTGAAGAGCAAATCTGACCCATCTCTAGAGGGACCCCCTCAGGCCCTCGCTCCCCACCGCGCTCTGCAGGATGGACACACAGCTGCCTGGCATGACTCCCAGGCTGGTGTCTACGGCTGGCCTCCCTGCCAGTCACCAGCCCTCGCCTCAGTGGCGTCTCGTCTGCTCTTAGTCCCACCTTTGTGTGCTTGACTTCAGTTGTTAGGTTTTTGGTTCCAGAATTTTCATTTTCTTCTTTTTTAGAAACTCTGATTCTCAGATGAAACCCTGTTCTTGCCACCTGCTTTCCTGAACCTGTTAATCCACCTTTTCATGTCCTTGGTCCAGCCCTCAGGAACAGTGATCTCTTCCAGCTGCCTTCCAAGTACTGTTGTATTGCAGTGGTAGTGACCTTCAGATGTTCTGTTTCTAGGCAGTAGAGACCTTAAAGATGTTGGAGAAAAAGGACAGTAGAGTGAAGAGTTCAGCTGCAACCAACCTCTCAGCCTTGTATTTTTTGGTAAGTTTATCGCAACTAAGAGCTGGTCATGTGGCGTTTTCATTGCTAAATCTCTGTCCAAGGATCATTCTTGGGAGAGACTTGGAGGACACTGGTGGGAGTGTGCACCAAGGTATGCAGAGGATCCAGTCATGACAGGTGCCAGGCCAGGGGCTGAGCTTGCAGGCCAGGGTGAGAGGACCACTCCTGAAAGAAGGGGGAGAAAACTCATGGTGGAAACTCACATCACAGTTATGAAGTGCCCTGCTGTACAAGGAGCTGGAGATATGTGTCACCTCCTTCATGTTGAAATGAAGACAGTGGCCTCTCAGGTGAGAGGGTTTCTGTCAGGGCACTGAGTAGAAGCTGTAGCAGGCATTCATCGAGTACATACTGGATGCCAGTCGTTGAGAGCACCAGAAGTCTGAAAGCTCCCTAAAAGAAAACTTGCTTAATGTGGACCCAGAGGTGGACAAGGAGGCCGGGTTCACATCGATAAGAAGGGCATCAGAATCTCAGGGGAGGCAAATGACGCCTTAATTTATGGCCTTGAGGAAAGATTTCTTACAGAAGCTGGATCTCAAAGGTCAGAATGAAGATAAGAGAGGAAGGGGCATTTGTGGGGCTACTGTGGGCTAATGGAAACGCAAAGGTGAGAAGCCACAGGGGACGGGGCAGAGTGAGAGTCACTGTGTTGTGTCATGTCGTGGAAACCTGCTTCCCAGCCCTCCTGGAGCTTCCGCCCTGCATGCAGTGAGAGTCCCTTCCTCGTGTGGGAGGGGGAGAGAGACCCGAGGCTGGCTGACGAATGCTCCCGGCTGCAGGAGGGAGTGTGACTTCCGCTGTGTGTCCAGAGGAGGGCGCTGGCCAGGGAGGGAGATGCTGAGTGTGCTTTTCAGTGTATTTAAACGTTGTGTCGTTATGGGAAAAGAACTACCCAGGAGGCATGTGGCACGCTAGCAAGAGGTGAGTTGTGGTTGCCATCTCGCGAGGCAAAGCTTTGACAGTGGTGACCTCTCCACGGGTGACTCTGGGGTTCATGCACACCAAGGAGGCAAGAGCAAGTCAGGTCCAGAAGCGGCAGAGGATCTGAGGTGGTGTGCAGTCTCTGAGGCAGAGGAAGGCTCAGAGAGGAGCAGCGCTGAGCTAGAGGACAGCACAGGCTGAGGCTCAGAAGAGGTCCTGGTGCTGATGAGACCAGGGAGAGACCAGCCCACCCTGCAGGGAGCACTGGAGCAGGCCAGCACTCCTTCGCAAGGGCACCTGGTGGGCCTGTGTACTCTGCCCAAGCCAGGCCCTGAAGGTAGCCTGCTCCCCAGAAAGGGCATCTGCAGGAAGGACAAGGGGCCTCTCTCTCCTGCACCAGTGGGGGCTGCTCGCTGAGGCTGGTGGCAGCAACATTGCCAGCAGCTCTGAGGGCAGATTCATGGGGTGAAGCTCATTGTCTGCTGTGGCCATTCTGTTTTGAATTTAGAAAGTCACTGATGAGTTTTGTGCCCACGCTAGTGACCAGATCTTTACCATGTTGGATGAGCATGCAGGAGAAAACTGACAGAAATTTTAAGGAGACAAGGAAGGGAACTGTTAGGCTTAGACCACTGAGCAGAGATGTTGGCGCTTCTGTTCAGTAATTTGTTATACCTGGTTCTGAAGAAAATGGTTGTCATTAAAACCTTTGAGTCCGGGCCCGTTGGCTCATGCCTATAATCCCAGCACTTTGGAAGGCAGAGGTGAGAGGATTGCTTGAGCCCAGGGGTTTAAGACTAGCCTGGGCAACTTGGTGAAACCTCTTCTCTACAATAAACCAAAAAATGAGCCGGGCATGGTGACACGTGCCTGTAGTCCCAGCTATTTGGAAGGCTGAGGTGGAAGCATCACCTGGGCCCTGCAGGTTGAGGCTGTGATGGCCATGATCGTGCCACTACACTACAGCCTGGGCAACAGAATGAGACTCTGACTAAAAAAATGTAAAAACTCAGCCAGGCTTGGTAGCTCAGCCTGTAATCCCTCGCCTTGGGAGGCTGAGGTGAGGGGATTGCCTGAGCCCGCGGGTTCGAGACCTGCCTGGGCAACTTGGTGAGACCTCATCTCTACAATAAATCAAAAAATTAGCCGGGTGTGGTGGCATGCGCCTGTAGCTCCAGCTATTTGGAAGGTTGAGGCGAAAGAGTCGCCGGAGCCCAGCAAGTTGAGGCTGCAGTGGCCGGGAGCGGCCACTGCACTCCAGTCTGGGCAACAGAGTGAGACTCCAACTCAAAAAAAAAAAAAAAGTAAAAACTCTTTTGAGGTAAAGTGATGAGTGTGGTAGGTGATAAGTAGTTGAAAGTATGCTGCTGGTGTCCAGCATGGAGTCCTGTCAGTCTTGGGTTGCTGTGTTTGGAGCTGCCCATGGACTTAGTGGCCTGATGTCACCAGATGTCTGCTCACGTCCTGCCTGACAAGGTGGCTCCCCTGGGCCTGTCTGGCTCACTGGTGCAGCTTCCGTTGTCTGAGGCTTGTCCCAGGTGGGCAGGTTCAGAGGTGCCCCCATGCCTGGCACTCAGTGAGCTGTCAGCCAGGGTGACAGTTTCCTCTTGAAGCTGCCCCAGCCGGAGACTCAGAGTTGTCAGGAGGGACTGGGTGCCATCAGAGCAAGCCCAGCCTACAGAGCAGATTAGGCCTCTGCGTGCTTTGAGCCTGTTATGTTATTGGACATAACAGACATGGGGGAGAGCCATACCAGGGCATGAGCATTGGAGGTGTGACCTACTGGGGCTGTTGCTGTCACAGCCCACCATAGTCTGCACTCAAACTCCAGGTACTAGGTCCTCCCAGACTCTTGGCATCAGACCAAGGGCCATGATCTGCAGCAGACCTGGGTGGAGATGGGAACCCCAGCTATCAGGTCCCCCCCAGCCTCTCGATGTCAGGCCCGGAGGCCGTGATCTGCAGCAGGCCTGAGTGGAGATGGGGCTTTGCAGGTACAGCTCCCCGCCTTCCTCTTGATCCAGAGATCTGTAAACACGAAAACACATCACCTGCCCCCACGTATCAGCTCTGTGGATGGCGAGGGTAGTCATTCATTGAAAACGGGGCACAGTGGAGTCACATCGCACCGTGGCCCTGACATATCTGAAACCCAGCTGCACACATGTGGTCGGTGCTTCCTGGTCTGGGAAGAAGGAGTGTTTTTTGTCATCTGGGCTCTGGCTCCGCCCCTGGGGGAATACTCGTGAATATAGAAGCCTGTCTTCAGCTCATTGACTTCTCAGCCTGCTCTCTGCCCAAAGGAAGCCAAGGCTCAGGGCTTTGTTTGTTTTGGCTGTATGTTTCCCTTTTTTTTTTTCCTTAGTTGGAGTCTCACTCTGTCGCCCAGACTAGAGTGCAGTGGCCACTCCCAGCCACCGCAGCTTCGACCTGCTGGGCTCTGGTGAGCCTTCTGCCTCAGCCTTCCGAGTAGCTGGAACTACAGGCGTGCGCTACCATGCCCGGCTAATTTTTTGATTTATTGTAGAGATGAGGTCCCTTTAATCCAAGCTAGCTACACTTTTGTCAGCACAACTCCCTAAGCAGCCTGCAGGATTTTCTCCAGGTCTCGTTGGGGTTTCCTTCATGCCCCAAAGCTGCACCCATGGTTCTTCCCACAACAATCCCTTTCTGCTTAGGGGTACATGCTGCTTTGCCCGGAGCCCCAAGAGTCTGCCTGGGAGAGGAGGTCTGCCAGGTTCGACCACAGACGTTTCTGAGCTGTTCACAGAGGCGTCGCAGTCGCACCCTGGAATTTGTCCCTACCCTGTAGGCATTTCCTACTTTGAGAATCTGTTGTCACCAAGAAAAACTGAACATGAAATAATTTTATTTTCTAGCCCAATGAGTCTTAGTTCTTCTGTTTCCCCTTAGTTCTACCTGCAAACCCAAACCCTTGTCTCCTTAGCTCCTCTCTCTCTCTTTCTGCACCCGATCATACCCAGCCAATGAACCAGTCGGCCCTCTAGCATCCTGCCCAGTAGCTCTTGGCCACCTATACACCCACAGGGCTGCTTCCTGTCTCCAAGCCACTCCGTAGGTATCGCTGTCATGTCTACTGACGGCAGGTTGGATTTGCCTGGTCCTAGCCTCTGAGTGACTCCTTCCCCTGTCCCACTCAGTCCCCAGCAGCTCCCCACAGCATTTCTAAATGTTGCCCGTGGCCTTGTCCAAAAGGCAGTGTCACATGTTTTATGACAGCAGCACCCACTTGTAGGTAGCAGTTTTTGTATCAGAGTTTAATCAGAGACCACATGAAAACTTGCATGCCTGTGAATTTTCACAGCAGCATTATTCACGGTAACCAAAAAAGGAAGAGTGGAAACAGCCCTGGTGTCCATCTGTGATGACTGGAGAATAGAATGAGGAATGTCTACAGTGGAATCACTCTTCAGTCTTAAGAGATCGGAGTGCTGACACGACAACGTGGACAGACCTTAGGGACATTGTGCCCAGTGAAAGAAGCCAGAGCCGGGAGACTGCGGGCTGTGTGATTCCACTTATGTCCAGTGTCCAGAGAGGCCGGAAGCAGAAGTGGGCTAGTGTTGCCTGAGGCCAGGGAGCAGAGGGCAATGACTGCGCAGGCTCCAGGCTTCCCCTGAGGGTGGGAGCACATCCTGGAAGTTGGTGTTGGTGGCCACACAATTTGTAAGTGTGCTAAATGCCACAGAATGGTACATCTTAGAAGGGTCAATTTGATTCTGTTCGAGTTACAACAATTTTAAAAGCTTAACCAGGGACAGCCACTGTGTGCAATGGGGGACTTGGGAGTCAGGTCTCACATGGGTCATGGAGGCCATGGTGTGATGGATCTGAGGAGTCCCCAGCAGTGTGGGAGCAGCCACATGCATCCAGCTGCTTCTGAGGTGCCGAGGCCTCACGAGTGGTCTGTGGGGAGCAGATGCCTCTGCACCTACCTCCTGGGGCCTGCAGCCCACCCCGCCGTGGAGCCAGGCAGACAGAGAGGAGGTGAGTGAGGACAGAATGGCACCCCGGACGTTCTGCATGGTCCTGCAGCCGATGCTGGGATTGAGACCTTCATAGCGAGAGGCCACTGCTGCAAGACTGCACTCGCGTGCCACTCGAGGGCCTTCAGGGCAACCTAGACAAGCGCCGCACAGGGAGGGGGCTCTGGGAAATGCAGCTCCTGGCTTCCCCACACCAACCTGGCACAAGTGGCCACGATCCTTAAGGATCAAGAGGCTCCTGGAGCTTTTGTGAATGCTAGCAGGGTCCTGACCAAGCAATGGGTGGCAGAGAGAGAGAGGAAACAGCAGCTGCTGGAAGGGCAGAGACCTGGAAGGTGGCAGGCCAGTGTGCATCTGGGAGGGAAGGCCGCCCCACTGCTGTTTCAGGGCTGGGAGGACAGAGAGCAGCTTAGCAAGCGTGGAATCGAGGCATGAATGTGGAGAAACAATGTTATTCAAACAAGAGATGTTGTTTCTACCAGAGAGAAACAATATTATTCAAACCCTGAGATTGGAGAAGTCAGTTGTGAGAAATTTGGGTGCTTGAGTGTAATGATGAAAACACTTGTACAATCAGCCTGTCTAGACCGAGATAGGTGAAACTCTGATTTCTGTTCATCAGCCCTGTCATCTCAGAAAGTCTATTTATGCTGTCTGTACTCAGAACAATGAGAAAAGATCCCTGATGAGATTCAAATCATGTACATAAATGTTTACTTTGTGTAGGAAAATGAGCTTGCACAGGCCAGCAGCTATGCAGACTTGGCCGTAAACTCTGATAGGTACAGCCCAGCTGCTCTTACCAACAAAGGGAATACAGTGTTTGCAAGTGGAGATTATGAGAAGGCAGCTGAGTTCTACAAAGAGGCTCTGAGAAACGATTCTTCCTGTACCGAAGCACTTTACAATATGGGTGAGTGGAGCAGGGCGGACTTGCTTCTGTAGTCTTTATTTTTTGTGGGTGGGTGGGTGTGTGTGTGTGTGTGTGTGTGTGTGTGTGTGTGTGTGTGTGTGTGCGCGCGTTTTGCTTAGAGCACTCCAGCACATTAGGAGAAGTTGATGTCTCACAAAAAAATGGAAAAGATAACAACTGCCTCTCAGATTATAGATTAGTGTAAATGGAGTTAATGATTCAAAAGCATGCCAGAGCTTGGCTCCAAATGTGCCCTTCTTTCTTCACTTGTGTGTTTTAAAGATCTTTCTCTACTTTCCCTGACTTCTCACTTTGTTGTAATTGTTTAATGATTCGTTTGCACCAGCTTGGCCGTGCTGCCCTCCCACAAGGCCCTTCTCCCACAGTGTAGATGGATGCCTGACTGATGTCTCACATCCCTGGTGGCACTGCATATCATCATTCTTTTTAACTTTTCCTAAACTGACATGTGGGTAAAAAAAAAATCCCAGTTTCTTTCTTTTAAATTATGAACAATTTCAAACATACCAAAAAAATACACAAAATATAAATGTCCATGTGCCTGCCACAGCAGCTTATCACATGTCCACATTTTGCCATATTTACTTCAGGTTTGGTTTTTAATAAGCGGAGTATTTCAGCCATGACGGCTCCCCCGTCATGTTCTCTTCCCCAGCTTTCTGGGGCTGCCCTCAGTGGGCACCATCGCTGCCCGGCTGGAGAGTGCAGTGCTGCAGACATGTGTCTATGCGATACCAGGTCTCAACCCTCCGACTGTGGTTCATGTGTCTTTTGAAGTGTCCTGTGTTTTCTCTGTCCCGGGTGTGGCCTTTCCCCAGACGCCTGATGCTCTGGGGCCGTCTCCAGACATTTAGGTGTCTGCCTTGAAAGTGAAGTGGGATCTCTGGCCCCTGAGGAGACGGG